TGGGTATCACAAAACGTAATATAATACGAAAAATTACAGCGGTTTGCAACGATTCTCCTTTCCACCACAATGCATTGGATGACGTCACCTTGGGGAGAGAATTTACCAAAGCCCGCCTTGAGAGCATTAGAGTGACTAGAGAGACGAGTAGTAGAGACGAGAGTATTCAGATAGCGCAGATTATAGATCAATAGATAAATACATAGATATAGGTAAATAGATAGTCTAGATATATAGATAGACAGACAGATATATAGATAGATAGGCTAGTATGCGGCAACTGCACATCCAACGGCACGTGCGACCAATGAGCCAACTCTACATTGTCAATCTACCTACTATGTATATTTCTATCTATTTATCTATCTAGCTGCTAGCTATCTATGCTAACGTTTATGCTATCTGGATGTCTGCCTATCTCTCTCTATACTGCCCACACAAGCACTTGCCAAACACAGCGACCGGACAGCGACAGACACGCGGCGGCTAAGTTACGTTTGCAACAACATTTTCACCGGAGGAAGAGATAAACACTTAGAAACGCCAATATAGCTAGCATGATGCCTTCTATTTCTAGATGACAAAGACCAAGTTTACCAGTACTAGACACTATGACAAAGGTTACCGGTACTTATCTGAACTAACGTCATGATCACTGCCACTAGATATAAAGAAAACGTTGATTTTTCACTCGGTCCTATTCAATGACAGTAACAATATATATATATATGTGTCGTTATTGTGCACTGCTGCTCGTAGACTAGCTCCAGTGCTCATTGCTGCGGTGCTAAATGATAGCAACTCACCAGGACACTTCACCAACTCTTTCTCATCCCAGTCAGTCGCCATAGTTCTAATACTAGGCTGAGAATGTCTAATACGGGCTCTGATACTAGGCTGAGGCTGCCTTTCCTCCACTTCTCCCCAACGTGACGTCATCGCCGAATCGCGTAAAAAAAAACGTTAATACCAAAAACGTAAAAAAACTGGTCTTTAAGACCATTTTTGAGACATTTTAAAAAGGATATACATATCCTGAGTGATTTATGTACCCATTAATCGACAGTGGTGGTTAACCTGCAACATGGCCTTTAAGGTAACAGATTGTTTTGGCGTTATAGCGGTTCTTGAATAATGTTACTTCCAGCTAAAGTTAACTTTGATTGATTCACCTCCGTCGAAATGATCAGACTTTAAACGCGAACCTGTGATTAACGCTGACGGCGTTCACATGCTCATTCAGAATTCTATAGTTATGTGCTTTTTAAAATATGTGCGCAGGTTTGTAATTCATACAACCCAGCCTAAACAAACTACTTTTCTTGCCTATAAATTTTGATACAGAATTTTGTTTTATTTTATCACTTCGGGGTACGCGAGCCGGAATTCACAGCGCTTTATCTGTAGAGTGGGAAAGGGATCCTCCATAGGGAGAGGATAGTGGATACTTCAGCACTGCATTGTCATCGGGTCCAGGCGAATCTCCTTCGTCAGGTCTGGACACGGCCTGGATCCGGCAGGCTGCGGGAAAACCTCGGGATAAACAAAGACACTAATATTAGCGTAGATGCCATTCTTCTTATGATGTAGCGAGTACATCAAGATTTAAGGGAAGTGTTCCCAGTTCCGGCTGACCTAATCTATGCAGCCTAACATTGAATTTATAGAAGTCTATAATGTATTATGTGTATGCTAGGTCAAAGAGATGTGTTTTTATTTTAGTCTAGCTTTGAACTGACAGAGTGTGTCTGCTTCCCGGACAATGGTAGGAAGACTGTTCCAAAGTTTTGGTGCTAAATAGGAAAAGGATCTACCGCCAGCAGTCGATTTAGATATTCTAGGTATTATCAACTGGCCGGAATTTTGAGATCGCAATAGACGTGAAGGACTATAATGCGTTAAGAGCTCGCTCAAGTACTGCGGAGCTAAACCATTTAGTGCTTTGTAGGTAATCAACAATATTTTAAAATTTATACGATGTTTAATAGGGAGCCAATGCAGTGTTCACAGAACCGGGCTAATATGGTCATATTTCCTGGTTCTGGTAAGAACTCGAGCTGCGGCGTTTTGAACTAGCTGTAGTTTGTTTATTAAGCGTGCAGGGCAACCACCCAGTAGAGCATTACAATAATCAAGCCTTGATGTCATGAACGCATGGACTAATTGTTCCGCATTTCCCAATGAGAGCATATGGCGTAATTTAGATATATTTTTAAGATGGAAAAATGCAGTTTTACAGAGACACGTGGCTTTGAAAAAGAAAGATTGGTATCAAATAGCACACCCAGGTTCCTAACCGACGACGAAGACTTGACAGAGCAGCCATTAATTGTACTAAAAAACGTGGGGGGAAAAATGAAAATAGACATGCTGTGTTTGAGTGTTCAAGCTACGGAGAAAATGAAATAAAGTTTGAATTTGTCATGCTTAGTTTGTTCCGATCAGAGCATGTGAGCGGAGAGCGCATTTCTGAATCCCTCCGCTCGCTCATTCCGCTCAGGGTCAACCCTGAATGACCTGCTGGTTCGAAAATATGTGGAATAAGGGCTGCCTCCGACTAAAGTTTTCTTCTAGTCGATTAGTAGTTGTTCATTTTAGCCACTGTGGACACATCGCCCCTCTTTATATTGATTTAATTACTTAAATAGGCTACAGGATGAGCGTTTACGTAGCCTAATATAGCCGCACTCAAGCGCACGCCCGCACTCATAAACCTTGCCACAAAGAACCGGCGAAAGTAATGATTATTAATGTGTCAAAAATAGCAAGGAGACATTTAATTGTTTATTAATAAACAGGTGTTTTCTGTGTCGCTGCAAAGATGAAGTTATGCGGACTCGAACGCCAGAGAGAAATGCACATTTGATTACATAATCAGAGAGTCGTCTATTTCTTTTCGTTTTGAATAGTTTCGTTTAAAAGAAGACATTTCAAGCTAATAGATATCCTATATTTATAAAATCTGTGAGGCACAAGCTGAGTTTCGGCGCCCTCCAGTTTACGTGCAATGCAAGTGATCGCCGGCCCCTTTCATTGTCTGCTATATTTGCTTCTTAATTAGCTATTAAATACAGGCAAATGTTTGATAAAACATATCAAAATTAAGATACAATTTATACTAAACGAAAATATTTTTAAAAGAGTCTTTCTACAACAACAACAACAAAGACATTTTTGGGTATCTCATGATCTCATGTATCATGTCTTTCTCACGCTGCACGCTCACTTTCATAATCAACATTGATTAAATAAAAAATAACATTAGCCTATTATATTTAAACATAAATATGAAACTAAATATGTTTTCTTTATTGGCTACAACATATACAGAGAAATATCATGTCTTGTCGTCAGCCATAACACAATGACGTCACATATTTTCCAACCCAGCCCTCAGCCCCCCTCGCATGAAACAGCTTCCAGCGCGCCTGCCCATATGGTTTGAATGTAGCCTACTATAGATTTTGGTTTTGAGTTTGTTTCTTATGAATGAGATTAATCAACACATTCTCATCCCAAGGCGTCATCTAACTGACACTTTTGACCGTGCGTCAACATGCCGACGCACATGGTACCCCTTAAGCGTCAATATGAGACGCTCATCCTCGGGCATCATCTAACTGACGCTTTTGACCATGCGTCTAAATCCGACGCACATGGCACCCTTTAGCGTCAGTTAGATGACGCTTCCGTTATGGGTAGGTTTAGGTTTGGGGTAGGGTTACTGTTAGACCACTAGGAGGCGCGTCTCATATTGACGCTTAAGGGGTACCATGTGCGTCGGCATGTTGACGCATGGTCAAAAGTGTCAGTTAGATGACGCCTTGGGATGAGAATGGGCTGGATTAATATATATATATTTAAATAATAACCATTTTTTATACCACTATCCAACTTTTGCTTCTTTTTTTATTTTATTTTTTATCAGTGAGCAGGAGCACTTTGACAGGAGGATAGAAAAACAGTTAAAGAAGAGTGGCAAGTACACTCTGGGAGTCATTTACGGGAGTCATCATAATTCATTAACGGTGTTAATAAATAACTTTTTTGTGAACAACTGTTTCTTTCTTCTAAAGCAGTGTTTCTCAACCTCTCCTGCAGGGACCCCCTGACAGGCCATGTTTCTGTTTTAACCCTGAAATGGCACACCTGATTCAAGTCATTAAAGGCTTAATGAGTAGTTGACTAATTGATTAATTGAACTATTCCCACTCTAATTACTCATTAAGCCTTTAATTACTTGAATCAGGTGTGCCATTTCAGAGTTAAAACAAAAACATGGCCTGTCAGGGGGTCCCTGCAGGAGAGGTTGAGAAACACTGTTCTAAAGGGCCCTTTATAGATAAATTATCTTATGAAGATAAAATTTTAACAGTGCAAAAGTGGTCCACATTTCATCCTAATTGTGTCCGAACGAAGATGCGATGCGAAGTCAAGTGGCTGTTATGCGAAGTTCTACCTGTTTACAAATATGATTGTATTGTTGTACTGTTTTTTCTTGGGTTAAAAATAAATATGTGTTTATTTAGCATGTTTGTTTTGTCCATATGTGCTGAGTTCCCCAATTGATAGGCCATGCAGGTCCCAGCTGCTACAATGTTTTTTTTTTTTTTTGCCCCCCCTGGCTCGAATGTCAAACTTCGTCTATGCAGCCTCCCCGTATCTTTTTTCACTCCTCCCCTCACTACTGCAGACGCCTACTCTTGTCTACATTTCAGGCGAGGCGCATTTCAAACAAGCCTGTTATTCAGAGCTTATACGCTGAATGGAGCATAACTCTGATCTAAAGGTTTCCTAAGAATTGTCTGCCAAAATAAAGGGTCCTTAATCATTTGACCGCTCTTTGCCTTGAAATAAACAACGGTTTTCAGCGGAATTTATTCAGCTCTGGATTATTTAATTTGCACTGCCCCGACCACAATTGAGCCGCTCGAAGTATGTTAGCCTGCTTCTTTTTTCTTTTCCATCAGAAAAGCCAACCTTTTTTCTTACCGTCTATAAAAGACGACAACAAGAAAGTTGCATAATGTTGCAAAATTATTTGAGCTGTTAAAGAAGATGGTTTACACATATTTATTTTTTTGCTTTTGGCTTTTAGGAGGTAAGTTATGCATTTTTATTTATGTCTTTAGTTAATGTAGTCTTGCATGGTCTTTGTATCAGAATTATTGTAAATTAGACAAAGGGTGAAATATAAGTTAAAGTAGCCTAGATGACAAACATGTCTGTTGTTGTTCATTACAGTGTGCTTTTAATTGTTTTATTTCACTTTTAAATGGCAGATATTTTAATCAAATGATTAATTTTACTGCATGTATTGTAATTAGGCTATATTTGTTATTGATGAAATTAAATGATTTTATTTCAGTTGTTGTGTTGTGTAACACTAATAAAGCTGTTTATGTGAAAACAAGACTTGTTTTAATGATTTCTAAATTATTTAATACAAATAAACGACAAAATATGAACAGGAAATTTTGAATTTAGTCTGTTTGCCTTTTAAGTTACCTATACTTAAACATTTAAGTTAATTGAAAAGACCACATTAGGTAAATTTAATTAAGTTGTCAATTTCCCCATTACTCAATTGAACTAAGGGAATCAGTTTAGAATAAGTCTCAACGTATCCAGCTGCAGACCCGCAGCACCACCAGTTTCAGAACCCCAGCGCCAGAACCGGAAGTAAGGGGCGGAGCTTACGTTCTTACACCAGCTCCAGGACCGGAAGTGAGGGGCGGAGCTTACTTTCTAAACCGAGTAACCCCACCTAACGTTTTGGAGCGTAATTTGCTTAGACACGAAACGTCATACTTTATACGTATGTTATAATTATACATTAAGGTACAGTACAATAAGCATTTTAAAACATTGATTTTGTGTAATATAATATAGTTATCCGTTCATTGTATTATGAGAGTTACTTTCTGATCATGACGGTGAAAAATAATGCTTGAAACTTATGGTCATTTATTTTATATAAAATATACTTTTTCTCACAAGAACATGTGCAGCATGCATTTTTCTTTATGTAAAATAATGTCAAAAATCTAAAAAAGAGAGAAAATTCGGCATTGTTTTAAAAGAAACAATAAAAATGTATACAACAATGACCAATTCACCTCTAGGCCCATTTTATCATGACAATCGCCTACATTTAACTTACTGTACAATGTATACAACTAGGAACTCACTCTCTGGCCCATTTTGTCCTTACATTCTTGCAAAAATAACTATAATGCAATAATAATAATTCCGCAATAACCCTCACTTCCGGTTCTGGGCTTCTGAAACTGGTGGTGCTGCGGGTCTGCAGCTGGATATATCTCAACTCAGTAGGTTTTACAGTGTATCATTATATTATTTATGTCATTTCATTAAACTGTTAAACTCTTTTGCAGTTTTAAAGTTGACACAGCAGCAACAACAATCAAATAATGTTACCAGCTCAAAAGCAAATGGTAAGATGATCTAAGATCTTAAACTATAGGTTTAAGAAATTACAGTGGTGTTTTATGCTGTCTTTCTCCAAATAAACTCTAAAAGATATCTGTGGTGATAATCTTTGTCTATGTTGTGCTGACTCTTTTCTTCCAGGTGTGTCTGGTGTTTATACAGATGAAACAGAGATGATATCAGTGATGGAGGGAGAATCTGTCACTTTACACACTGATAGTGAAATATACAGAAATGGTGTGATACTTTGGACATTTAGATTTCACAATTCAGAGATTCGTATCGCGCAGATCTTTGAACGGACCATCTCTATATATGATAGTGGTGAGAATGAGAGATTCAGAGACAGATTACAGATAGATGAGAAAACAGGATCTCTGACCATCACAAACATCAACACATTACACTCTGGACTTTATAAACTACAGGTCATTAATGGAGGGTTCAAACACATGAGCTTTAGTATTGCTGTCTATGGTGAGTAAATCATTCATTCTTTATTTTGGTCTAGTATATGGATGATTGAAGGCTGTTAGTGTGAGGAATTTTTTTTTAAGAAGAATTTGAAACATTTATATTATTTAGTATATTGAAAAATTCTGTCACGTTGACATCCTTCATGCATTGCTTTTTATATTGAGAATCTTTACAGACATCTTTATGACTGATTCATCCTAAAAAAAAAAAAAATCTTCATTTATTAGCGCTTTTAACTGTTCCTGTCATCAGTGATTCTCCACAAAACCCTTCGGTGTCAGAAAGATCGTCAAAGCAGAATTGTTCACTGGTGTGTTCATCTGAGAATGTGAGTCATGTGACTCTCTCCTGGTACAAAGGAATCAGTGTATTGTCCAGCATCAATGTGTCTGATCTCAGCATCAGTCTCTCTCTACCTCTGGAGATTCAGTGTCTGGATGATTCATACAGATGTGTGGTGTCTTATTCATTCACCAACAGAACTACACACCTCAACATCACTGATCTCTGTCACACATGTGAAGGTACGTCAACATTCAACAAACTCTGCATCTTGAACTTGAACTCACATTCACATGAAATGTACACATTTAAGTGTTTTACTAATCACACCCTGTTCAGTGCATGTGCTATTTAATGCATTTGATTGCCATTTTCTCCATTACATAACATACATTGGATGGATGTATTCTTATTGTCACAAGCAAGATTTTTAAAATTTTCCCTTTCTGTTTGCATTACCTGTGTTTTAGTTATGTTCACTTGTTTCCAATGGTGTCTATGTGCTGATTTGTTTCCTCCTGTGTTTAGTTAAGTTGCTCGTTCCCTTTGTGTATTTGTATATTTACAGTAATGGCTGTTGTTGTCTTATGCATTGCAGGAGCCAGTCATTCATTTCTCACGGAGCTGATAATTGTTGTATTGCTGGTAGTGATCATAGCGGGGGCTGTGCTGATGTATTGTTGCTGTAAAAACTACAAACGAGTGAAACAGGAAGGCAAGTATTAGCAACTCACTGGTATGCACACGCTATGAATCTTTTTTTTTTTTTTTTTTTTTTTTTTTGTAGAAGTAGTGCCAACAAATTTCTAAATTTCTGAATTGATTATTAAACAGCTCAGACAACCGAGGAAGAGGTCAGTTATACTCATACGACGTTTACCAGACACATATCTTCAGATACGGTAAGATACGTTTGTTATTTACCTAAATCTCTTTGTCTTCTGGTAGAAAAACACTGAGTCGATATTGTTTGTTTGCGTATCTGCCTGTGGCTGCTTTTTAAATGCTTGATGTTGCATAATTTAACACTCAGATGTCATGACGTTCTTATTTTGTTGATGCTTGTGGCCTATGTAATACTTTTTTCTTTTTCTTTTTTAACCATATTTAAACATGATTTGCGCTCTCACATCACCCTCGTGATATGCTGATGGTTGTGCATTATGCGTGACTCGGCTTCAGTCCAGTTCTTCTGTGTATTCTGTGCATGTTCCTACATGATAATGAAGCTCTCATTTAGATGTAGGATTATGTTGATAGTGATACCGTGAATTCTCTAATATATTTAGTTTCACTATTTTAACAGCCTTTGTGGAACATATGTGCTACATTTTCTTTATAGCTGCTGATGTTATTTTGTGAATTTGCACTTATCTTTCTGCTTTAAGCATGTTTCAGCTCTCTCTCTCTCTCTCTCTCTCTCTCTCTCTCTCTCTCTCTCTCTCTCTCTCTCTCTCTCTCTCTCTCTCTCTCTCTCTCTCTCTCTCTCTTGACTTTGTTTTCTTGCAGGAGACTAATAGACGGGATGACACAGAGTATTCAAGAGTTGTTTTGAGATGATAACCACACAGACTGTTATTGTACAGCTCAGTTATTAAAGGACAGACAGAGCATCTGCCAATGCTTCATTACTCAGTCATGTCTAGACGTGAGTAGAGCTGGTTTGCGTGCCTATATTATTATACAGGCATCATGATACTATCCTATTCCAAGAGTCAGAGATAAAGAGAAAGTTAACTCAGAAAAGTAGATGCAACCATCAAGATTTTGCTTAATAAGTAATAAGAGAAAAAATGCATTTAGTAGCCTGTTGAATATGTGTGGTAAAGCCTGTTGAATATGTGTGGTAAAGCCAAGGCCTCCCTCTACTGACTGTAAGTGAGACATACAAGAATCACTATGATGGATTTGGCTGGTTATCATGGATAAGTAATCAAGTTAGTCTCTGCTGGTTCTGTACATAACTGTAACTGGACAACCTGAGGAGCAAAAGCATATTTCTCCATTAATGACAAGATCTGAGGAAAATATCTTATAACGGTAATCTGAGATTATCTTGATTATTGCATGTCAGTGAATATGGTACTGTGTGTGAATTTACACATTAAACATTGTATTGTAATCACCAGGCAAGAAGATTTTGCAAAGAGACATTTTCTACTGAATGCTTTCATGCCATTAAGTAGTGTTAAATAGTGGGCTAATGTATGTCATGCTAAAGTGTTGTTTTTTTGTTGTTTTTTTTTTTTACAAAAGCTTTCAGTGTACATTACTACTTTATAACAGTGATGTTGTCATGTGATGATCATCAGTGCTGTGTTTTGCTTATTTGCTGGGAAATAAACATTTCTAAACTTTCACTCTACTGATTGTGTTTGTCTCCACTAAACTTATCAGTATGAAGTTGGACACACTGTGATGAGATGAGGTGATATGGATAAGACAGTGGCCTTCATCTAGTGCATGCAAGACTATTCATGGGCATATTCATTCCATTGAATATGAATCCCAGCATTTTCGGTTGTGTGATCCTGTTGTTTCTATATTAACAATATGTTGATTTCACGGGAAGGGTTTTTTGTATAAAAGCAGAAACACAGTAGAACCTTGAAGTCTCTTGTGTTAAAATACATTCAATTATGTATTATTTTAAACCTCTAAAATCAGAAAAGTATCTGTTGTCTTACCAGTTTTTTCCACTTCAGGTTTCATGCTCTGACGCTAACAGCTGCGGTAAAACCTTTGGTCTATTTTTTAGGTCAGTGTAACCTTTTACTCGACAAACCTTTCTGTGTCCTATTAGACGTTTGCAGTTGTTCAGTGTGTTTTACTTTGTTCTGGATTTAGAAGGATTTTACATTTTACAAGGATTTTAATTTTCCTTTAGAAAGTGGAGTGTGTGGTTGTTGGATATTTCATGAATTTCTGTTCATCACACCACAGCACTATGAGGAGTGTGTTGCTTTCAGAGACATTTTGAATATGATGTCAGACGCTGCCGTCTTCTTTCTATGTGTGTGTGTCACAACTTGTAAGTGGATTTTATTTAATTTGATGTATTTATGGAGTTCAACTATGTTCTATGTGTTTGATTTGTTTAATTTGAGTTAAACTATTCAAAATGCACTCTTTATATATTTGTTATACATGTAGTTTCAGGTGTGTTTAGTGATACAGATGAAGTGAAGTCAGTGTCAGTGACTGAGGGAGATTCTGTCTCTCTAAACACTGATGTTCAAGTACAGAGAGGAGATCAGATACTGTGGACGTTTGGACCTCAAAACACTCGAATAGCTGAAATCTTTAAAAGGGACCAAATGAACTATGTATTTGTCAGTAATGATGGAATATTCAGAGACAGACTCCAGATGGACAATCAAACTGGATCTTTGACCATCAGAAACATCAGATCTGAACACACTGGACTTTATAAACTGTACGTCATCAGCAGTAGAAAAACACTGAAGAGATTCAATGTTACTGTCTATGGTGAGTAAACGGTATGAATCATATTACAAATTGCTAATTATTATTATTTTTAATTCTAGGCTGAACTCAAGTGAGCTGAATAATAGTTTTCTTAATGCAGAATTCAAATGATAATTCGAATGCCCAAAATTGCAGTCAAAATGACCAACAAATTGTTGAAATAATTAATATATGCACAATAGCTGTTCAAATGATTGACCGGTATCTTAGTTTAGATGCAGACATTTCTTTTTTTCCAGCCTTGCATTCACATTTTGGGATTCTTTTTAATTAGTCTCGCAAGAAAACATCTGTATGTTATTTTTGTTATTGATTTTTGATAATAATACTGAGATAAAACCTACATGTTCGTTCATGTTTTCCAGCTCCTCTACCCATTCCTGTCATTTCCAGTCACTCTTTAAACTGTTCATCATCATCATCATCATCATCATCTTCATCATTAAGATCATCAGAGTCCAGATGTTCACTGGTGTGTTCAGTGTGGAATGTGAGTGATGTGACACTCTCCTGGTACGCAGGAATCAGTGTATTGTCCAGCATCAGTGTGTGTGATCTCAGCATCAGTCTCTCTCTACCTCTGGATGTGGAATATCAGGATAACAACACATACAGCTGTGTGATCAACAATCCTGTCAGAAACCAGACCACACATCTGGACATCACTGAACTCTGTCACACATGTGAAGGTACGTCAGCGCTCATCTTACTGATCTGTTCCTCTGACTGATATTTTCTATTTATAGACAATGTCAAGACAAATTCTATTTCTATTATGTATTTTTTTGTCTGAATTCGTAACAGAAAGACTGAAAGTTTTTCTCTCTCTGTGTTTATTACAGAACAGAGCCATCGTTCGTATTTTATTCTGATAATAATCAGTGTGTGTTTGTTCATGTCTGCTGTTATACTCATATACTGTTGCTCCAGGAAATTCAGTCGAGCGCAACAAAAAGGCAAGTATTACCAACAACTGACAAAGTTCGCCATATGGCATAATATTATTATATTAATACACATTTTGTTTATATATTAAAATGATTAAATATGTAACATTAAATAATATAAAACATTTCATTGAATTAAAAAAATGGTTTATGTTTATATAAATGCATGTAATTCTTGTATTTTTGGTGGGAAAACAGAAAAATGTATCAGAAGTTCTCAATATCTCGACGTTCATCTCTGTCATGTAAACTCATGTCATGTGATCATGCTCCACTAGATGGCAGGAAACCACAGAACATACTGATGTTAAAGCTGCACTAATTAACTTTTTTTTTTTTTTTTCTTAATGTGTTTTGTATTACCCTGGTAGGTTAAGTGTTTATATTTAACCCCGCGCGGGTCTCATCAAATCTGTAAATAGAGTAAAGTTGCTCCGGCTACTTTGACGTGTGTATGGTGTGTGTGGAAGAGGTTAGTTGTCGCAATGAGCGAGAAAGGTTAACATTGAGCCGCTAGATCTCAAACCTCTGGGGAATCACCCGTTTTAAATGAACAACGAACATAGGAGAGTCTGCTGGCAGATGCAGAGATGATTTTACTCAACAGTAATTTCCGCTCATGTGTTTGTGTTTGCAGATCTGACATTCACAGAACAGCAAAGCATGTCAGAATACACACAGATCATCTACTGTGTTCAGATGAGAGATCTGCCACAGGTCAGCACACACTTTATCTGGTTTTACTTTAAATATTTCATGAATAGATGAAGGTCTGAAGGCCTACTTCTAGTCAGCACAGAAGTGTATCTGTTTGTAATGGTGAATGTTTCTTCTTTATAGATATCCTTACTGAGTGTGGACAGAACAGTGACAGCTGTGAACTATCAGAAGATCATCAAGATGAACAATAATCATTGTAAGATGACCTGAGCATTGGTTGTGATCATCTTGCACCTGTAGAGGTTTAGAGTTTAATGAAATAATGCTGAATAGAGTTTGATAGGTGCTTTCCACCATTGACACCTGTTTTTTCTGCAAGCTAAAACCTCATATCAAAAGCTCCATTGAGGTGTGCGACAGCTGCTCTGCCCTTGGACTTTGTTCTTTATTGTAGATTCAGTTTGTGTGATGTTTTGGTAATAAAAGAGAGTACGCTGTGGTTTTTAATCCAAACTGTCACAGTCATGCAAAGATTTTTGGGAACTCAGGATTTTAGAGAACTCAAATTTTGGAAATCAAAAACGGGGAACTTCCACTATCATGTTCAGAGACGAGAAGTCCAGTCAGCAGGAAGTAATAAAGCCCTGTGATCGTCTGTGAAGAGCATTAGTGAATCATCTGAGTGAAATAAAAGCTCCCATCAAGCTAATGCATTACGGGAAAGACAGAGAGAGAGAAAAAAAGATATCTGCTTTTCATCACGATAAAATGGTTAACATGTTGTTTTTAAACATTGTGGTATACAAAGGTGGTGTAAAAAATACAATACATATAGAGAGTTCAAATAACCAAGCTTCAACGGAAAAAACACCAACAAAAAATGCAAGACATCATACTGTATATGCATGAGCCCACATAACCGGCTGTTATCTGAAGCTGCACAGTTTGGAGATAAACATCAGTATTTACAGTAAATAGCATGAATATTTACTCCAGGCCAGCCAGTAACAGATTTTAATCCATGTTTTGAATATATTATTCTCACAACTTTTTAACCTGAACATGGAGGTCTATGACAGGAGGACTTTAAAGTAATGTTATTACTAAAAACACAAAAGAGTGACACATGCACTGTGCTTAAATGCAGTAACTGTCCTTGAGCTTGAATCACTCGAGATTATTTCATTTTATAATTACAGTTTTTTTCAATTGTTTACACACAATTTTGAAAACCGGGCTATTTTTTTCAAAATATAATCACAATTATCCAAACACCACACTGAATTTGCATAATTCCTAGATTGTTTGCAAAATGACACACTTCTGTCAAAACATACACACTTCAGTCAAAACATATACACATATTTGTGAAAATACTATTAGTTTTCATTTAACATAACACAGTCCTCAATGATCAGACACTATTGCAGACAGTTTCACACTGCTGTGATAAATAAAAAACACATTTGTAAAAAAACTAATTTTAGGAAATAGCATGTGCTAGATTTTTGGCCAGACATTGTTATGTAAGGGATAATTTAGATGAAAAAAATAGTGACAAACCCACAACATTCTTCATGATTAGTTTGAGATATAGGGAGAATGTACACAAATAGGCCTACTAACTTACCAAGCACTGCACAACACTGATGCTGCAATATTTCAAGTATTTATTTCAATACTTACAGTATTTCTAACCATAATCAGTTACAGTAATCAACCAACAATTACAGTTTTTCTCATTTGCTAAGACACACTAAATTAAACTGGGATCCGCTTGATCTTCATCATCACATTATTAGCACAGCAGAAGTCTTCTCTTGCAAATGTTTTAACACTTTTTCATTTGTTTCACACATTTTTCACACCCTTTGTCAAAACAGTTACCACAGATCTCATTGAAAGATCCCAAACTCTATTGGATTCACTGTGTTGAACAAAAGGAAAACATCTATTCACAGCTGATAGAAAGTACTTCCACAATTATAAATCTCTATACACCTGTGTGAAACTCGTTTGCACAACTCTTCAATCAGCAATCAGTCCTCATCCATCTATAAAAAATGCCACCCCTGTGTTGCTATTTGCAAGCATGGATCAAAGAGGCCATAGGTATGGAAGGAGAGTAAGAGGCCATGGCAGAGGGGCCCGAGGAAGAGGAGTTTGTATGCGTGGTGGAGAAGCTGCAGCAGCAAGAGGACGAAATCGAGCTCAAGTTTCAAATGAAATTCGGGCTACAATTATTGACCATGTCATCAATCATGGCTTGTCCTTTAGAGAGGCTGGACAAAGGGTCCAGCCCATTCTGAGTCGGAGCACTGTGGCATCTATTGTCAGGCTTTTTCGTAATGAGAACAGGTAATTCAGTGTTACTGTAATGTATACCACTGTGTATTTCAGCTTTACTGTATTGCCCTGTTAGCAGAACAAACTGTGTCTACAGTAATGATGTTTTATCAATCCCATTTATGTGACTGTCATACAGTAATGTCAATTTTGACATGCTTTTTGCTTTTACTTTATAGAATCCACACATTACCACACACTGGTGGCAGAGGAAAGATATTTAGTATTGAACAGGAGTCAGCCATTGTAGATATGGTAGTGGCAAACAATGCAATCAGACTGCGTGAAATCCAGGCAGCAGTAATTGCAGATCAGGGAGCATTTAGAAATATAAACAGTGTGAGTTTAGCAACTATAGATCGAGTCCTTAAACGAAACCAGGTCAGAATGAAGCAGCTGTACAGAGTTCCATTTCAAAGAAACTCTGACATCGTAAAGGAGGCACGATTCCAGTATGTGCAGGTACAGATTTTTTTTTTATTGTAATACCTTGTTTACCATAGTTACATGCGACTGTAATCATTTGCTCTATGAATTTGCTATTTTTCTTAGAGAATAATGGAGCTTGAAGCTGAAGGGGCACATCACAAATTCATTTTTGTGGATGAAGCCGGCTTCAACCTCTGTAAAGTGAGGAGACGCGGGAGGAACATCATTGGGCAGAGGGTCACTGTCACAGTGCCAGGTCAGAGGGGTGCCAATATCACCATGTGTGCTGCCATCTCCAATGATGGGGTCCTTTGCCACATACCAACTATTGGTCCATACAATACAGAACGCCTCATCACATTTCTTGATGCATTGAAAGAAATACTCATTCCACCCGAGGAGAGAGGGCTGTTGAGGCCTGGCATGACTCTGTATGTCATAATTTGGGACAATGTGGCTTTCCACCTCGCCTTGTAAATGAATGGTTTGCAGCACAGCCTCGTATTATGATGCAATTTCTCCCTGCATACTCGCCTTTTTTGAACCCAATCGAGGAGTTCTTCTCTGCTTGGAGGTGGAAGGTGTATGATCACCGGCCATATGAGCAGATGCCCCTCCTGGAGGCAATGAATGCTGGTTGCCTGGCAATAGGTGCAGAGGACTGCCAGGGATGGATACGCCATGCAAGGAGGTATTTCCCTCGGTGCATTGCAAGGGAAAACATTCAATGCGATGTTGATGAGAACCTGTGGCATAATCGTCAAGAACGAATGGACTAAATGTGAAAGATAAAATATATATACAGTATAAATCTTTTTTTCTTTTTAAAGGTATTTCCACCGATAATTTGCCTTTGGTAGCTTTCTTTTTCAGTATCCGAGTTTGTAAAGTATCATATTTCATATTGATGGCTGTATTTTGTATTTTGTTGTCCATTGTGTAATGATTAATTGAAAGAATAAACTAATTTGACCATAAGTTGTGGTGTTTGATGAGAATTTTTGCTTATGTTGCATGTTTTTAATGTTTTGTGAGTGTTAGAGCATTTTGCTAACAAAATGAGTCATTTTGGCCATTGAGCTTCAGTTTTATCCTGTGTGTTAACTGTTTTGAAAATGTGATGTCAGAGTGGGCAAATGTGTTTAAGCAATCGAGAAAAACTGTAAATCAATGAAACAAATAAAATCTGTAGACAAATAAAAATTACTGCATAAAGTAGATACACTTTGACCCTGAAGACAAACTACTGTAAAAGCAACAAGAATACTGTAACTATTCATCATCTAACATTTGATTGGTTGATAACA